AAAGTTTTAACAACATCCGTTCGAATTAGCCGTTCGAAGAGCAACAGGGTCGGTGAACCCGAGGAGATGCTGTCTTGTGTGTAAGGTTGAAACTTTCCCGACACCCAGGCGGCTAATTTACTCTGGATAGCCAGCTCGTAACCTTAGCCAATTCCTGAGATTCTCGACGCTTTTGGTCAGCGAGAATCTCGTACCCTGGAGAATCCCTTTTCCTCTTCGAGAGATTGCGAACCGGGATCGCGGTGAGAAAGATCCCGTGATTCTTCATCGTCGCGTCAGATGCACGCGCGAAACGGCTTAACCGTGATGCAGTTAATTCGAGTCCTCGTGATTTGTTCGAGGGATCGAACAAGAGCGTCGGGCGACGAGGGGGTCTGACGAGAAAGAGAGGGTAAACAGAAGAGGAAGAAGAGAGGAGGAGAACGGTAAGAGGGCGTGTGCTGGCGTAGAAACGGGCGCGAAATCACAAGTTGCCAAGAGGCATGTAATGTCGTCGGATTTGCAATTCCATTACCGGCTGCCAGCGTATAGGTAAAGGGTGAAAAGGGTGGCGACGCCGACGCTCTCGTCCTCCTTCGCTTCTCGACCGTACCTCACATCCCTCTTTCCCAATGTCGCGCACAGTTTCTCTTTTGCTCCTCTCTTCTCTCCCTTTCACCTCTCTACCCTTTCTCCTATGCTTCTTCAATCGGCGAATCCGTAGGTTTCACCCTTCAGCTTGTTTCTACTTCCGAACATCCCTCCACTTTGCTTTTCACCGCCATCGTGTCATACATTAGCTATTAAGCCGGGGGTCGAACGGCTCGTAAGAAGCCGGAGTGGCTTCTTTCGTCGGTAATTACAGAGTTCCGCTCGTTCCTTAGACAAGCTGGCAGAAGAGGAACGATGGATGACCAGTTTATTGCATTACTCGAACGTTTAAACCCTTTGTGGGGCCCGGCGGTGCTTTCCAGACGCGAGTTATGAAATTCAGAAAATTTCATCCCCTCTCGATAAGGATTTAATACTTTTTATCTAATGAAATGAAACGTTTCACGATATGTTTCTTATTTCAACCTGTATTTTCTATTATTTCGTTTAGCGAATGACCGGCTACAGTGGCTGATGAATTGGCTCTAAATAAGCTGAATCCTTCGGCAAATTGGATCGAATGTACAGAATAAACAGACCGCAAGGGGTCAATATCTACTTTAGGGTGCAAAGAAATACGTGATCCAATTTCGCTGGTCTGATAACCGATAGCCTGCCACTCTATGTATAGCTACCGTGGTAAAATTCGATCGGGCACTTGGTACGAGTTAATAATGCACCGATGCCGCGAACGACCAACGTCAGCCAGCCGAACGAGCCGCACAGTTTATTGATATATAAAGTAATTAAACGGTCAGGCTGATTTTCGGGCCCTGCGAAACGGCCAGACCGTTCAAGTAAATCTGTTATTAACCGTTATACGCTGAACGCGATAATAATTTGATCTGCATCGATAGCGGCTTAAACGTTGAATCCACTGTGCCCGACGCTTTATTATAATATCCTGCCGGTTATGATCGATACCAGCGAATCGATTTATCGTTTTATGAGGTTTTGATAAATGTATTCGTATCGGGTGTATCTAATATTAGAGGTAGACGAACTATTGAAACGACGAAAGGCTCGACCAATTTTCGATTAATTATAACAGACGCGTTAAACGATAGGTCGATCGGCTCCGAATGTTCCACGATGTCCAACCTGACGCTATTAACCCACCGATGTTCCGGCTCCTACAGAGCGTGCAACAACGCGTCGGTTTTGCTCGCGATCCTGTTCAAAACCGCGGATCAGTTTCCAGTCATTTTGAATCGATTCGACAGGAGGGACGCGTGCGCGTTTGATCCGCGACGATCCGGGATTTCGGAAGCAACTCTACCTGCCATGCCGTTCCGGTGGAACAAGGACACGTGTAACTCCGCTAGACGTTGCCGGCTAGAGAGGGTTAATTTAACCCCACCTCAGGGTGGTAGAGAGGTGTGGGAAGTCAGGGGTGAGCACCGGTGTCACGGATGTATGCTAATGGAGACCTCGGGAGATGTCTAACATCCAGCATCCTGAATTGCCTATACCGGATACGCATGAATTCTCGGATGGTAATGGAATTTAGTAGCGTTTCGAATCGACCATTCAGAATTTATTAGATTATACTGGCTACCTTTGACGTTTCTTTCTTCGAGACACCCCGTTCAGTCGAGCAGAAACGTTCGATGATTGAGTTGGAACGTTCCTGCTGCGCTGCGATCTTGATACACGGATTCTAAACATATGCAGATGGAAGTTGCAATATATCGTGCGAGAAATCGAAACATTGTAATGCTGATTGCGAGGCTTGATCGTGAGACCGCAGGTGAATGAACTGTTCGCTCCTATTTAGATACCAGCTAGACTAATATCATTTTCATTAATTCTACCGAAATTTTGTAGCATTTTTAAAAAGCTTACTTCAGCGGCCGTCGTTCTTGTCGCGATAAAATGACAAGACTTTCAAGGAACGTCCAACAATTTAATGGAAGTAGACTTTCAGAGAGGAATCTAAAAAGACCAACGTTAATAATGGAATTACGTCTGGTATAAAGGGAATAGGCGAACGACGATGTCGAAGCTAGTAGAAGCATTAAAAAATAAAACCCGGTCTTCAGGAACTATAAAACGTGAATAAACTGTTGCCGCGGTATTACGTCGCATCCTAAAGAATGGTAGGATCCGCGAGATACTCGCATCCGACTGTGCATACACGAGCTATATCAAAGTTTACCGCGGAACCTACGAATCTTCCTACTCAACGTTCCGGATATCCGGCTCGTTACGTACTCGCAGAGCATCAAGACCATATCGCGCGGATATATTTATGCAAATTCGGCTAAGCACGCGCGCTTTTTCGCGATTCGATGCCAGCCAAGTCGAGCGAATCTTTTCTTCTGGATTCGTTCAACGAGATCAGAGTTACGGACCATGATTTATATAGATAAACAATAATGTAGGATTTGAAAATCCCCGTTTTAGGTGGAAAAATTATGGCGTTTCGTCTCGGGAACCGTCCACCAGAAATCCCTGCCACAGACACCTGGGTTCTATATTCAGATCTTACTATATACAATATCGACAAGGCTCGTAATGTACCGCTTGCGAGAAAGGATGGAGTTACACGTGCGACATCTTTCGGCCATCACAGAAAAGAGGCCCAGGTACCAGGAACGCCAGAACCCCCACAATAAATTTTGAAATAATTAAACAACGCTACGTTTCTTCGCCACCGTCGTTCTCAAGGCATCACCTTTACTACCGGTCAGTACGACTTCACAGTCGTGAATCATCTTGAACGACACGATAAAATGACGACAAGGTGGTAATAGGATTTTCGCAGAAATCGCTGATTCATGTAACTAGTTTGTACGCTGACTACGTGCTAGAAATATCCAGCCGATCTGAAAAGGAGGTCGAGCAAACGTACGAAATTTTGCCTTCGGCCCTCGGATACCTTCGGAAAAGTGATTGAATACGAAGGAAATTCGATTGTTGCCTATCGACGTCTTTCAGAACAGAAACGAGAAAATCTGACAAGCGGTAGTTAGCGAACCTTCTTAAAAATTCGAAAGCAATTTTATAAAATCACACTGATTATTTCATCTATCGAAATTAGAAGAGGATTTTTCTAATCAGATTATAATTCTTCGACAATTCGAAACGGGATCTTTCACGGAAACGGTGAAAAAGGATTTCCAGGACCGAAATAGAATCGAGCTTTTAATAAGCGTTCCAGCTATTTTTAAATGTCTGCTCGAATTACCATATCGCAAGTGAAATTTGCATGAACATTTACATTTTATGGCTCGAACGGTTGGCTATCGCGATTACACAGTACGTTACAAAGTTATTACAGAATTTTTGTGAACGCTAAACGGCAAGAAAGCTGGTCGCTTCGATTGTCGCCTTCAAATTCGTTCGTTTTCCCCCTTTGATCGTCAGAATCTCGGCCTTTTTATCCTTTAAATTCGTTTCCAGTCAAAATACCGTGGACGGTTCGTCGATAATACACATCGAGGAAAGGAGAAACGTCATTCTGACGAGCGGGCAAAATGGGGATCGAAAATCTCCGATAATAAAAGCTTGCTCGTCACGCGAGTTTAATTGGACCGTACCGGTTCTAGCGTGTTTAATTTTCTTCACCGTGTCGCTTTGTACGCATTCAAAGGAAAACAAATTGAGACGTTCGTTAGAATTACAAAGAAGCATAATTACAGAAGAAAATAGAATTGTCCGGAGACACTTGGTTGCTTTTGTACGACTGAAACGATCGAATCAATCGACGAGGACTGAACGTTTCGTACTTATGTATGTATAAATTTCTAACGCTTTGCATGTAAAACGTTATCGTTCCTCTTCGTGTTCTTTTTTTTTTTCTTTTTATTTTAATTTCAAGTGAAACACGCCAAATGGCGTTGGTCGAAGTTGGAAAGCCCGTGTAACTAACATTTCGACGTTGAAATGGAAAAACTGAAAAAACGGGTCACAAGGTGTCAGTGTCCCACGATCAATGATTTTAATGGAATCGGGGTCATTCTATTGGATTTGAAATTCGTTCGTGTTTTACACCGTGATCCGCGTGCTTTTGAACGATCGCGTAAAATCTCCGTACACGTCAAAGGCTAATGATTAAAGTTGTATGAATACCAGATAATTATTCGAAACGAAAGAACCGTTGCATTATAATTTCGTGGAACGTGCTCGATGGTTGCGTAACAATTTTACATGTAAAAGAAAATTTGCAGAGATATTCAAACAGTGAATAGAAAAACTCGTGGAAATATTTTACACAAGTTTTTGTAATATTTTGTACAATATAAAAATGCGATGATAAAATTCACATAGGAAAAATATTCTCCACCGATAACAACTTTATTTATATACAATGGATACTTTTAAAATGTTAATGCATAAAATAATATCGTAGTACTTACCTTTGGACGTCCAGGGAAGTTGAAGCCAACCGGAAGACCACTCGTTAATGTAGAGGGATGATTCACTTCGCTCGTGCACTAATTAACCACCGGTACACTTCAATTAAAACGCGTTGTTTCAATAAAAATAATTGGAAAATACAATCACACGCGATACTGTAAGTAGCGCGTCTACGACGAAAGACGGGACACGATTGGTTTTAAATACAGGATATCAACATCGTGAAGTCGCGACGAGGCTCGAAGGCCGAGGTTGTTTTTGTTTTGGTTTCGGTTTCGGTTTCGACTCGAAGGCTTGTTATCCGCATTCCAACGCCACGGATTAATTCAGTTACCCGACGACGAACGATAAGAGAAGACGTATTGATAATTAATAAATCTTTGGGAGGTTAGGAACTCCCCACGAAGTTACTTTCGGCGATCCCCTCGTGTTTCGAGAGGCTTGGTAAGTTTGTGATTTTTGATTCACTGTTTGCGAGTAAAAAATACCGTTTATTGATACTTAACACTTTTATTGACCGTATATATGAATCACAAAGAAAGGGGTTGCGGGTATAGGCACGCGACGCGCGGAGACAATACGGAAATAATGGCGCCAAATTGAGATGCAACCATCTTCAGGGCACCGGATCGGTTGCCGCGCGCTGATTGGCTCTCGGCTAGGGAACTATGGGTAGCCAGCGAATAAAAAAATTAAAACATACCTCCCTAGCGATCAAACGACCTGGTCGATGCAAAATCCGATACAATAATACTGTAGCGAATCTACTTTAATAAAGGTACGTATATTACAATAGCAGAGTATGATCAAAGAGAATAGCTAGAAATATCAGCTTTTTGCACGGTCGGCGCCAATATCGTTTTACTCTCGTCTGTTAGCGCGAAACGAGCATACAGATAAGCATAGGGAAAATAACCATCGCATGTTATTTTCAACCAGACGGTGTAGAAATCGTATTGGTTTCAAGAATTTCGATTGTTCCGTGAGCACCAAAAAAAGAATTCAATATCCCGCAGCAACGCAACGTGTTGCGCGCGTATGAAATTGGGAGAAATTTCGAAACGAAACTGCAATTTCAAACGTCGCGTCGCTGTTGCGGAATCAACCTCCGAGTTCGTTAGCTCGCAACGGGTCGCGTGTTTCGCGATTGAAAGATGAATCTAGTTAAAGCGGTGATTTTTCAATGTCTGATTCAATTCCAATTTCACCACCGCCGCAGCTATACGCGGGATTGTTTAAATTACTTCGAAATTGTCATTCTTCTTCCTTTCATTTTCATCATCCGCGATTAAGAGGAAATCGTTGGAAGAAAATCAAAGAAACGAGTTTGCGCGTAGCCGGTATCGCCTCTCATCAACGAACGCGTTAAAGGATTGCGGTCGAAATGATAGAGAGCGAGTAAAGAGCGAAGAAGAAGAGGGGTTGAAGGGGTTGAGGGTTGAGGGGGGCAGCGAGGGTGGCCGATGGCGTTGGAAAGGTCGGCCCCGGGCCGATGGAGGGAGGGTTCTGCTAGCCCGGGACGAGTATACCGACTTTATGATGTTTTTTGATGCGCAGCGCGGGGCCACGAGTAGAACGGAAATGAACTCGAGAGTGCTGCTTCCTATCTGCTTTTCAGTCCCGCAATGGAATGGACACAGAAGCACTTTCGTACTCTGTAAAGCTCGGAAATACGCGGGCATACCATTTTCATAGGAGCCGGGGTTGCATTATGAATCGACCGCCTTCATCTCGTTTCGCTGATCACCAGGCCGGTTGCGCACAGCGATGCACGCTTTTCCGTTTTTTTTTTCTTTTCCTCTTTTTCGAGGATTAAAACTGCCGCGAATAAACGAAACCTTTTATATTCAACAATTCGGTACACGTTCGTGCACCTAACCGTTCGTCTTCGTGTCTCGTGAATTACGTACCCGGATCAAATATACGCGAGACTTTCCATACAGGCTGTTCCAACGGTTTTCCCGCTAAAATACGCCACAAAGATCCGGTAATTCAGTCAACTTTCGTGTAAATACGTTTCTCTTACAGACACCCTGTATAGCAGGTTTTGAACGTACACTGCCGTCCATAAGTCACCGGATATTCTTTAAAACAGAATACTCTTTTTAAAATTGGACCAAATTGGACTTGAGAATTTTTGAGAAACTGTCAAAATTAATATTCTAGATGACGTGCTCTTGTCGTTTTAATAAAATTACAATTTGTCGCAGTCACGACAAAAATACTAAAGGGCACTTTTTATAATCGTCGAGATCGGTCAACGCGTTTAAAAGTTATAAGCAATTGAAGCTAGTGATTTTCATTACAAGTTCAAAACAAACAATTATAAGAACTGCCCTTCAGTATTTTTGTCATTTTATTAACACGACAAAAGCACGTCATTTAGAATATTAATTTTTATAGCTTCTCAAAAAATCTCAAGTCCAATTTGGTCCAATGTCCGATGACTTATGGACGACAGCGTACGTGACATAGTCGAGTATATTCGAAGGAATATTCAGGAAAATAGCAGCACAATTTTAGCAGCACGTTGTCCGGAGGAATAACGAGAACTGTACTATCTTGTTCGTCCAAAATACGATGTTGCACTTCCGGTTTGTTCCCTTGGTATCGTTGCAACATTCTTCTTGCCGGACCACGTGTATCGTATAAATTACGATGAGCGAGCAAGAAGTAGGTAACACAATTGCGCGGACCGCATTACGGTTGCCATAACACGGCAGACGTTGTAGAAACTTCAGCGAACCACTGTCGAAACTTCACTTCACATTCCTCTTGCAACGGAAATTTATCACCTTGTAACTACCATTTGTTTACGTCGCTTAAGGGAGCGTTCAGGCAAAAAGGGGTTGAACTCGAGTTACTTGTTTTCATCGAGGTGGAATAACAGAAGGCAGCCAATTCGCGATGGTAAAAGCAGCCGGATGTTAATGAGTTTGGATTAAGAAGACTTCGAGTTTGCAAAGAATAATTTCACCTAGCGAAATCGCCTTCCGTTTCAGAGGATGTTCTCGTTATCGTACTTTGATCAACAGTTTCCATGTAAACTTAACATCTTTTTTCCCTTCTTTAATAAAGATGTCTGGGAAGCCGTGTTTTCTGGCGTTTCGTGGCCACGCAATTCCGTGCAGTACAGTAACTTTGCCCCAAAAATTTCATCCACGAGGGATCGGGGCTCTGGTTATTAAGCGGGATAGCAATTACTCTCGAATGTTAACCGCGTTAGATATTCTGTCGTATAAATTCGATGTTGCGTGTGGGAAATTAAAGCGAAACGGTGAACGGTAAAAATCTTTCCAGGCACGTAGGAATTCCGGTGTATTCCGGCTGCACGGGAATCGTGCATTCGAAACGAAAGCGCCTTCGTTCCATTTCGCGGCGAAACGAAGGAAAGGGTGGGAAAATAAAAGAAAACCGGTGAATTATCAAGGGCTGGGTCAACGCGGCCAACGAATTCGAAGATTCTTGGTTTACTCCGTGTAAAACTGGATCGCACTTTGTTCCTGGTCTCTGCTCGATATCAAATATTCCCGTTCGAATTGATATTCCAGAGAAAAAATTCGAATTCGAATCAGCCGGAACGTCGACAGTCGCAGCCAGTGATCCCAAGGGAGGGAAAAAAGTCGACGAAGAAAGACGAACCCTTTCGACACGAGGATTTTCCGGCGGCCAGGGTGGATTGCAAATTACAAGCTGGCGAAATATTAACAGGAAATGCCAGGCTGCATGGCGAGAGGCATCAAAATTTCATGACGAGGTAAAGTTTTCGGTGAAACGCGTAGCGATGAAAAATTACATCTTCACCAGATCATCGAGTGTTTTAATTAAAGAGCTGCTTGGAGCAATTTTAAAGCTTAACAAATTTTCAAGCAGTCTTGCAAAATCATCGATTCGTCGTAATTATTTTACTTTCCAGAATCGAGTACCGAGGCTTTGCTTATGGAATAATTAATACGATCGAAATGTACGATTCAACGATAGCCGGAGATTATTTTTCCATAACGCATTTCGTTTGAGTGAAATGAAATTTCTGGATACGTTCATTAAGTCAGGTAATGTTTACGTGGACACGTACACGCACAGGTAAATCCACATTAAATATTCAATAACAGACAGGGACGGCTTTTTCCAGTCTGAGTATGATTCGACTGAACTCTTTGAGTGCATGCATCTAGCAAATCCGAAAATCCGATTTACTGCGGCAGGTAGCCCGGAACAAGGGCGAACCGAAAATGCAATTTCGCGAGCTTTTACCTAATATTATGACCGCGTACTCGTGCCTAGCGTATTCCCAGAAAATATGGAAAGAGGACTTTACTCTTATCCTTTTCCTCTTTACGCGCCTCTTTGTCTGTGTAAATTCGCACCGCAAAATGTAACCACGCGTCTGGCGGGAACGGTATGAAAGGTTAAATACACACGTTGAACGTTGACGAATGAGACTTTGATGCCTTTTCCTGCTTTTTTTAACAACTAAAGGACGCGAAACGGAATAGCGAAAAAGGATTCTAAGCTCTTTGCGTGAAACATCAATTTTTGTTGAAATGCAAACAGCAAAGGGTGTCGTATTGATTTTTGTATAAATCCTGTGTTTTACAACTAAATCGAACTGCATGTTTCCTCTGGAAACAGTGCCGGTCCTATTTTCGAAACTTATTTGAACCTCGAAGAGAAATCAATTTCAACTTTTACACCTTTTTCTCTATTATCCTACTTTTCCATGATTTCATCGGTCTGATAGTTTTTCCGACACAGAAACGGTGTAATAGCAATTTCTTTGCTAGACGCACGCGGTGTGTATAAGAGGCAGACGTCGTCAGGCAGTTACATTTTTGCGAGATACGAGAAGCCGGAGGAGAATTCAGGTTTTTGCCGGGAAAGGGAGAGACAAGGGGTAAGATCGATAGAAAAGAGGGAACAAGATTTCACGAGGCAAAGAATATCTCGATTCATTTTTTACGACGCTCCCGACCCTACGACATTCTTGACAAAGGTAAAGCGTGTCAATCGCAGAAGTAATATCTGAAAGTAGGGTAAGATATAAGAAGTAGCTGTGGGGGGGATGAAAGGTGTAAAAACGTGGGCGAGATCGTGTGCCTCGTGTCGGGGTAATCTACATGAAAAATTTCCAATTTCATCCATGCCATCTATCGAAGATGGGTCAGCAAAAAAGCGTCGATATCCGAATAGCAAAAATTCATTTTTCCCGCGCGAAACATTATGGTCACTTTATCGTTGACCGCCGATATATCCCAGAACGATGAGAAAGAATTTAATCTAACCATTAAACTATCCGAGCTGTCGATGAATATTTCGTCAGAAATTCCTTGGCAAAACCGGAGAGCCTGAGTAGCTGGCTGCCTAGATAGATAACACGTGAAATTCACGGTTTGCTTGCTATTGATACGAGGAAAAACTGGAGCATCGCTTATTGAATTGCCGCGAGGTCGTTCGATGAGCATTGCTCGATACTAAAACCGAAACTTCAGTCTTCCCACTAAGCAGATGGAACTACCTAGATGCAGGAAATGAAGTGGAACTTAACGTTCGAGGGAACGAGCGAAGTGATCTCGAAGGATCTTAATGAACCGAAGAGGAAATCTATGATATAGTGTATGTATGTCCTCGGTATTCATTAATTCTTTTCGCCTGACACGTCTCTCTATTGATACCAGATTTTCTATACGACGGCTTTTAACGCAAATCGATTCGACGAAATGGAATATTTCAAAGGAAATTCATTTCCACGGTTAATATGATGCAATTTTTGTTCAGAATTTTCTGTGAAAATGTTCGACAGACGTGTGGCAGTTTAAACGTTTGACGTTTAATGAACGACGAATACCAGGTAACATGCCCGGAGAACTATTCGTGAAATTGACTCGAGAGTGGTTGGGAACTCGTAACGTTGAAACGTTATAATATTTTTATAGTCGGTTTTTACGCTGGATCGAACAAAAGCGATCCATTTGCTTGTACTAGACTTTGTTACGATTACAAAGGGATACGTATTGTCAGATGTCATTCCATGAGTTTTCAAATACAACTGATTTCCAAAGAAAATGGAACGGTGCATGTTACACCGCCATTTTGTATAACATGTATATTGATCCTTTCTCTTAAAAAAGTAGAAAATGTAATATAATGCGTATTTTACATAATAAACTATAATTCTGTTCGAGCCACGAAAGATAATTATATTTTATTATTTAACCCTTGAACAGCGGAGCCTGTAATCGTAACTTAAACAAGAATATTAATCTAAAGTTAAATACAGGTATAATTTTTAAAGAAAAGAATTTCATGTATCAGAAAAATATTTTTCACAGGCACAGTGTGAAATTTAGAAAATTAAAATAATATGAAATGGCTCTCTTCATGGTCCGCCGTATTGGGGCTCTCTCCGTGGTCCGCCGTCTAAAAATTAAAAAACGCATTGTATTATATTTTTTACAAATTTCTGAATTTCTTTTCGGTAATACCACTTAGGACTTCTCATGCACCGCCGGTAAAGGTTTTCCTTACTCAGGAAATCATTGAGAAAATAAAGAAAAAAATTCTTACTCCTTTAGAAAAAGGGTCAACATTGTACAGAGTCAACAACTGTATATTTTATCGAACAATAAAAGAAATATGATTTTTCCTATCAGTCCTCGATCAGACCGCGACCGTGCCATAAAAATCGTAACGAACATAAGCAACCCGCGGCGAACCGTAAAATAATCATTCTTTCGAGGGAAAAATCGTGCGATTGGCGAACAATAAAATCGCGAACGGCAAGTACCTCAAGAGAGATACAACTGCGCGAACGCATTAATCAATGGAACGTCTATCGGGGTCGACTCTGGCCACTTTTGTTCGCGTGTGTTTCGCAGCCGCGAAATCGGATCGTCCTCGGTGAATCCGTAACGACGGCTCGTAAAAAAAATAGAAAAAAAAAACTTGGCATCGTTACCGTGAACCAGAGACAGAAGGGAAGCACGATAGCATCGAAACCGTGTAATATTTGCTCGAACAAATATCGTGACCGGTTTAATAAATACCCGCGTCCTCGTAGCGAGCTGGCCTCCTTCGTACGGTGCCGAGATATAAAGGCTCGCAATAATTTCCACCGAACCTGGCTATTAATTACCTTAACGACCGTGCTTATATGCTTATCCGACCCTCGATCTTGCCGCTTTTCGATTGAAACAAACGCCCTCGCGTGTATCGAAATTCCGAAGGAAAATACTGGTGATCTCAGATTCTTGCGCGCCTTGATCCAAGCATTAAGCACACCCACGACGAATATTCTCTCCTGTAAACCGCTTAAATCCCCAGACACCGAGCTTCCACGGATACCTTTCGTTGGCAAAGTAAATTACGTGTAATATCCCGAAAAGAAGCGTAGGAAATCTCTGGGAGACCCTAAAGGGGAAGTAACTAAAGTGGAGGCTTGCCGAAAAAAAAGAAACGAGGACAATTTAATATTTAACAGAAACGAAACAAGCGTCTTCATTTTACCTTCGCCCTTTCTCGTTAATTCTACTTAAATGCTAATTCCCTCCAGTTTTCCGAGAGTTTCGGCTAGGGGAAACAGGAAAAAACAAACGGAAGCGAAAGTTCAGCCGGCGTCGTTGATAGGGTGCAGAGGTGATGCACTCGAAGAGGTAAACAGGAAACGGGACGAGAGAGAAAGAAAGATAGACGGGATGTGAACGGGGGGGGGGGGGTTACGTGCACGCGAAGCAGGAAAAGCCAGCTCGAGGTATATCGTGATTGGTAGACGAGCCTTCGGCTATGTGGAGCAAGCAGCAAGTGCAACGATGGAAGATATTTGAATTTCAGGGCACAAACCGACCGCCTCTATCAGCAGCCTCCGGCTTGCTGATCTTACGCTCATCCTACGTAGCTTCTCGAGTGCAAGTGTACACGACTGAGAACGTTTTATCCGCTTCGTTGAGATGCTTGGCTACGTTCTTCTTCCTTCTTTATCGGATGACGAACCAATCTTGTTTGGATTCCTGACGAATCCTTGAATATAAATGAATTGAATTGTTGCTGGTATATACACAGTGATTACACCCTGGAAATAAATCCAAATGACGGAAGAAATTGCTTTTGTACCGTGAGATTGAAACCTATGGAGGAATCTGGTAATAAAAGAAATCGTGGAAAAATAAACGTCAGCGGTGAAGTGTATCACTCGGGTTCGATTTTGCCGACGGAAAATCATTATGTTTCCGTACAAGTGCAACCGATAATCAGCGATGATTCCGCGGATTATTAGCCTCCCACGATGTCGATTGGATCGAGGGAAGGAACGCTGAAAGGAAGAAGAGAATGTTTTTGAAAGTACAAAGTAGCAAATTGTTCTCCTCGATAAAAGTCGATGTGCTGAAAACCAGGCCAATGGAATACGGCCCACGGCATTGTTTCCCGACGTTGTTCGGTCATTATCGTTCACCGGTGACGAAGAAAGTCTACCGTGAAAAAACATCGATCGGGATAAAAGCAGCTTCAAGAGGGTCCTTAATTCCTCTTAATCGTTGAACGTGTCTCAAAACTTCTTCGACTGTTTGGAATCGCGAAATCTGGACAAACGATTCCGAAATGGAGCTCGTCTCTCTTGTTTCCCTTTTCAATTCGCCTCTTCTTTACAGGCCATTTACCTCGACTTCCGCTTGATACCGGATACGTCGTAACTCCCGTCAATCTCCTAAAGTACGAGTTACTTTTGTGTATTTTGTCGACTAATGGAGCCCTGTTGCTTTTTAAGAATCGATCGCGCGACCCTTGGTAAATGTACCGAAACAAGGGCTCTTGCCTCCCGGCAATTAATTAACCCTTTTTCCTGAAAAAAGTAGAAAACATAATATAATGCGTTTCTTACATAATAAATTATAATTCTAGCTGGAACAAAAAGTATTCGAGGCACGAAAGATAATTATGATAAAGAGCAGAGCCTAGGTCCACCGTGACCTAAATTAATCTAAAATGAAATGTGCAATTTTTAAAGAAATACGAAATTAAATTAAAAGGAGGAGTGTAACATTTCAAAAATGAAAAGAGTATAAAGTACGGAATTAGATTAGAATTGTAGTTCTCTCTGTCTTGGAAGTCTCTCCATGGTCCGCTGTCGAAGGGTTACAAAATTTATTACATTACACTTCTTACTCTAGTTTTGATTTGATTTTCAATTTCCTTTATAAACCCCAGCACTGCAACAAATATCTGAATCGCAGACGATTACTGAAAAAATCACCGGAAGATACGTGTCTCTCCAGTTTGTTAATCCTACAGGGACGAGATATTCGGATACGTGAGTCGTTTCGGTACGGTCCAAGCGTCCGAGAAATCGCTGGTTATTCTACTTGTCCATAATTCATAGCTCATCGCCGTGGCACGCATACGTACGTGCAAAGGTAAATTAACGGGCGGCTAGGTTGTGCTTTAATAATCGCAACGACAGAGTCGTGCCAGCAGGAAATTATTGTTAGTCTTCCTTTCAGGAATGATTTAACAAAGATAGCAGACCAACCCGTCCAGTAAATTACGATGTTTGGATACCGTACAGAACCTCTCTCTCTTAGTCACTCTGTCTGATACAACAGCGTTGCTTATATGGATATTCAAAGCAATCGTCCACCAGCGTATCTCGACGAGACGAGAGTTAATTAAATTTTCCATGACGATGTTTAAACGCATCTCGAGCAGCAGGTGAAACTCGAAGCATCTTGTTTGATCAAAGATAAAGCCGGTTCAGAGCTGATTACACGGAAGACTGTGAAAACGTGGTTCCATGCTATCGAAAGATTGCAGCCGAGGTAAAAAGTGTCGATGAAAGGCGGCACGGCAGTAATGTGGCTGCTCACGCGAGGCCTTTTCAAATATTTCAACGTCTAGATGGATGCTTTTCTCTTAAATGAAAAGGGTAAAGTTTAAATGAAAAGCTCGCGTATATAAATCGTGTTGAGGAAAATTTGTTCAACTAAATTTTCTTTACACGGCTCAGTTTGCCGTGCTAATCGTTACATATAGTTTACACGGTGCTAAAAAGCATAGTATGCAAATCCACTGTTTTTTTGCGGCATAAAGTTATGAAAGGTTGATAAAACATCGTTGCAAAAGTTAGAATTTATAATTTACTGCGAGCCTGTTAATTCCACGACAATGAATGTGTTTTAAATTTCAGATTACCGTATGAACCTCCGAGCACCGCATCATTAATCACTCGATAAATAAGAGACACCAAACATTGTTCTAATTAATATTCCGTCGATCCTTATCGAGTATTCATGTATTCATAACGCAGCTGTGTACTCCGATGACACTATTTTCGAATTGCAATCGATCGGATTATAAAGATTCGAGCAGAATTCTCTACAAAATAATAGTTAAAAACCACAAAATATTTGTTGCTTAACTCGTTGCTTAAACAAACGCTGCACTTGGAATATGCGTTTCTTTCTCGAACGGAGGGTGTTTCTGCACCTATGCAGAAATTTGTTGACAGGCAACGCAGTGACCGTTTTCTTTCGTCGAATCAAGACGGACGTTTCCGTCGAACGGCTATGAAAATGTCCGTGGGAACTAGAGGAGATCGTGCGATTCCGCCGGTTGGATTTCTAAGCTCGCTTTCCGAGCACGTGAAAGCGCGAGAATGTGCATAGGCACGCGAGGAAGCAGTCAGCGGACTAAGATGGATGAGAAGCGCTCGGATCGAACAGCTTCATCCAACTGCGAGAAGGAAAAACCCTGCGAATCCTCTTTGTTACCGTTTACTCGATCCGTTCCGTCGTTAAACGTCGCCCGTTCAACGATTTTTTCTCCCGCTTGTCACACATCCCGCTAGAATTAATGCAATTAACGTAACGCGTCGTTGGAATCGCGGCAGTGATAAATTCGGGGCTTAGCGCGAGGCTTCGGGGGATAACAAAGAACCTTGCTCCATCGAACTTTGAATCTCGGTTATTCATCGAGTGCAATCTGTTTAAAAAGCTCTCTTGGAACGAGCCAAGCAATCGCTTTCGTAACTTTATAAATATTGACGTAACCGTGGTGAGATTGCTCGAACGTTTCAGAGGATTTTCTTGTTTTAAAGCGGATCCCCTGTACCTACCTCTTAAAATCTGAAAGGTTTTTCCATAGTTTTATCGATTTCGTGGGTGCACCACACGCGGCACATCCGGCATCC